AACACTTGCTGCAGCTACCTTACCAAAGACTGCAGGAACGTCTCCCTGTGCAGGACATTCCTCAGCTTATCCAAGCAGCACTATCATAAAAAGACCTGTGTGGCACAAATTCAGAGGCAGTACAGAAATGCCATTTATCTGCTTTATATATACATATATATAATCATAACATATACCTAGGAGGAGGCACTTGCCTGTTTAGGCACTATTTGTGGTATTACACATTCATTCTCTTTACCATGGGTGGACAAGAACTTCCTTTTGCCTGCAACTTTTAGCTTTTTTGTGTTCATATATTAACAACACCATGCATATTACACATTCAAGAACTCCCAATCTATGCCTAACTTGCTCACAGAAAGAGGACACACATTTACAGTTCTGTTCTCCAGAACATATTTCAACACATAACATTTACTGTCCATTTGTCATAGGTATTAGCTAAATGGCCAAAACACATGAGGATTTAAAAAAAAAAAAATCCCACCCTGATTTTGCCTTAAGAAAATTTAGAAATCCTATGTTCTAATGATAGACATGACTTTTATTCATTACCACTTTAGGCTGCATTTGAGTAGAGTAATGAAATAACACCACTGATACAGTATATATAAAGCCACACCATATATCAGGATGAAAATACCTGGGGAGATTTACTTACACAGGTTGAACTTACCAAGAGACTCTCTGTAAGGAGGCACTGAGGTGGTCTGAGTTTCTGTGTTGTGAGTTTCCCTGTTTAGATGATGTTCTGTAAGTCCGATTAAAATTTGCATAAGGAAACCTAGCAAGATCCAATAGATTAGTTAGTTCTGACTTCATACCAAAATGGAATTTAAGCCTCTAATTAACAAAGCAATCCTCAACGTACAAGAAAACCTATTTGATTTACAGAAAGAACAAGTATTTCAGTAAAAATCAATACTAGTAAACAATTATGGCATAATTAAGCATAGTCTAGTCCATCTCAGTCAGCAAAAGCTGTCCTTTTGCAATTTTTCTTCCCAACCATGTCTCTTGACTCCCAAGGTCAGCTGAGAGTGAAGATTAACTATGAGGCCTTTAGGCCACAGGGTTTTTGAAGATCAAGCTCCTTTAGGTTATACAGTATAGCTAGGTTTCATCATGCACATATAAGAATTGTTTCTTATACAATACAATGGAAAGTCAGTTAAATCTGTAACTAGTTTTTGAAGTATATTCTGCCAAAAACCTGAGTTTTCCAAGTTAGTATGAAAAGCCTCCAAAGAGCATTATATTTAATACCTGATTACAGATTTTTCTCGTATTTCCAATATACAAGTTATTTATTTTGTAAGTGAACGTCAACAGTTAATCCACACCACAAATACGAGTTGGATAATCCTGAAATACAACATTCATCATCTTGGTGTACTGCAAGTTTCAAAATCCAGCTAAATCCATATTACTCCCATACCAACACATGCCCAAAAAAATCTGAATTTTCATTGCACACATCTTAACAAAATGAAACTAACACAATTATCCTTGTTTGCATCACTTATAAATATTTTGTACCTTTATTTTCCTTCTGAGTTCCTGAAGTCTGTAAGAAAAAAAAGAAGTTTTAGCCAGTCTATTTTCACCACCACTGTAATTTAAACTTATTTTCAAAATCAAAATAACTTTACCAGTGATTTGTAAAGACTGGATTTTGGATTGATCCTCATTAATTGAAGAAGATCTTGCATAGTCCACAGCTTTGGGGAAAGAAAGATCAGTTGGAAAAGGTTAAATAATTTAAAATAATTTCAGTTTTGCAACTGGCACTATTTCACAGTTCTAAATGTTTTCCATTTGTAAAAGATCTATTTGCTCCCTGCAAATCATTTTCAGAGGCCTGCTGTTCTACATTTACTTATCTTCAGTACTTCAGACATATGGCAGCCAGCATGTAGCTTCATCATCAGCTGAAGCTGTGAAAAGGGTGTTTTGTTCCCTTCTCATCCTCAACATGTGCTTGCTACTTTCCTCATCATTTTTCTTGATTTATCACCCAAATCAGATGAGCTCACTAACCCAAATGATGATTAACTACTCACCAGGTCAAAAAATTAATTTTCAGTTAGAAACAACCTCACCCTATCACACACTTACAGAGATGCAAAGGGAAGGCAAGGACTGCCCTTTTCAACCACACTTTGTAGTTAGAACAGCTTGAACTGACCAGGAACCACATCTTCAGTGAACTGAATGGCCAAATAAACTTTTAGCAGATTCAGTTCCCAAGTGCTCTGCCATACAGACAGATTGTGACTGTACCTCTCCAGAACAGTGTCATTAGCTTATTGCCAGTTAAAAGTATTCATGAAAATGACCCTGAATGACAGAATGTTGTGTGGAGATGATCAGAAACTGTACTTAGCTTTGTATTTTCTATCACAAAAAAATTATCTTTTCAATTGTTACAATATGACAGCCCCCAGAGAACAAAGCTCCTAGACATTGTGGAATAGGCAAAATACTGAACTTACCTTCTTCTTCTCTAACCCACTTTCTGGAAAGAAAACAGAAAGTGAATATTCGTAGCCACATCTCTCTAGATGATCTGCCACCAAACTGTTGGAAGCAGTGATCAAAAGTGAACCATCTTCACTTGGAACCATCTGTGGCTGTAGCTCTCCACTCAAAATTGGGTGCATTAGTTCATGGATTAGCTGGTTTCGGAGCTGTGTCTGATACAGAAAAAAGCCATTGTATTATCAGTTTACATGGGATTAAATAAGTTTTAATTTTTCAAAATCCACAGGGAGCCTCATTTTACTTTTACAACCTACAAACAGAACAGAGCAGACTAATTTTGGCAAAATCTAGAAGTGTGCTATGAACACCCTGCTTTTTTTCAAAACCCTCTAATGATGGATACAATGAACTCATGACTTTCCCTCAAAATGTATCAAACGTAGGACTAAAAAGAAGCTCCCAGTCAAGAGCTCACACAAACACCAATCTTGTACCGTCATTTTCAGATCACTGCTTTCCTGTTTTCCTTCTCTTTTGCTTAAATAAAGCCTTCCTGATGTGGCCTCCATTTCAGATGTTCTTGGAACCCTCACTGGTCCTCTTTTGAGTCCCATATCAAGAAGTAGCTCATGCCACCACAAAAGTAGGGCAAAAAAACAAAAAATTCAATGTCTTTAATATGAATTATTTTGTGGGGAAGCAAAAGATTACTAACCAGACACTTACAGGCACTAATAATAATTAAATGGCATTTTTAAATTATTTATTATTACAGTGAGTTACAATAGAGAAAAAAAGCAACCTAAAATCAGCAGATCTCCCTTCCATGAAAGGAAGAAAGAATTTTTTTCATTACACAGTTATACAAATTTTTTACATAAGATCAAGACATAAATAGTGTTTTAAGCTTTCAACAGCAGGTATGCAACAGTGACACAACTGAATAGAGGTGGTATGTTACCCAAAATGCAAAATAAGTAGCTACCAAAACACAACAATGCCAGATCAGCAGACTAGCCTGATATTTTAGCACGGTTTTCCAGAGAAATTAGGCTGAAAACAAGATTACAGAACTACAGAGTATTCTGAGTTGAAAGGATCATTGAGTCCAATTCTCAAACACAACTGTAAAAACTGTTTTCATTATTAATTTCTGAACTTGCCCAGTTTCAACCAACTTTAAAGTGGTATCTCAAAAACAACCAAGAACAGACCTCTTATACGTCTTGTGGAAAAGTGCAGGTGGAAAGCAAAGGGATGAATTCCCATCCCTAATAAAGAAAATGAACTGAGAAATAACTTTCTAGACATGGAAAACAAAGCAAGAATATGGACTTAAACAGAAAGTTACCTGATAGAATATTAGTTAAGTCAAGCGAGAAATGGTTCAAGCATTGCAAGCTTGGGATGGAAAACAGTAATGCAAAAACAAATTGTCCTGAAGAGGAAATTCCTGGCTATAGGATGATCAATGTTACTTTTGAAATACTGATCCTGAGTTTTTTTCCTAAGACATTCTACTGAATGAACAGACAGGAACAGAACAGCTCAAATAGTTTTAAAACAGGAATGTAGTATTTTAGAAGTATTATTCATAGAACATGCTTACTTATCATAGTAAGTCATCACAACATAGCTTACCTATCACCTGTAACCTAAGAGATCCTTTCCTATTTTGTATTCTAATTTATTGTTCTCTCCCCGTTTTTTGTTTTTTTTCAAGCATGGGTATTTTCTAACTCCTAATACAGGCTTTTAACCTTCCTGAAAAAAACTCCGAGGCCAAGGCATAATAAAAAGACATTCTGTTTAGGGAGAACCTCCCATACCGGGGGGGAAAACCCAAACACAACGCACCTCCCCCCCACCCCCGATACTAATTAGGTTGTGGCAAAAATAATACTTTGTGGAGAGAGTGAAACTTGTACTCGGCATGGCTTTCAGGACTCTCAATGTTAAAGCAGTACAGCGGATCACAGCTAGCACCTGCTGAAAACAAAGCACACCTTAAGTGTGTCCAGTACGCCTCGGCTCTTAAAAGTCTGATACAGCTTTTTCCGGAGTTCCTCTTGGGACAAGGTCTCCCTTTCAACCGAAGCCATCCTGACCTACAACACCGAAACAAAAAGGGGCATTACGGATTCGCAGCTCGACCCCGCAGCCAGCGAAACGCGCTCTCGCAGCCCCCGCCTCCCCTCAGCCCGCTCGGGTTTTCCCGGGGCAGCCTCCCGCCACCCACGGGAGAGCGCCGGGGCCGGGAGCAGTGCCTGGCAGCGGGGCCGGGCCGGGCAGGGCACAGCGGGGCAGGGCAGGGCAGGCCGGCTCGGGCAAAGCGGGGCAGGGCGGCTCGGGCAAAGCGGGGCAGGGCGGCTCGGGGCCGCGGCGGCCGCTGAGGCGTCACGGTGGCGCCGGATGGGGCGGGCGCGGCGCTTCCGGCGGCCGCGGGCAGGGGCTGGACGGGGCGCGGCGCAGGGTAGGCGGCGGGCCCGGGCGGGAACCTGCGGGCCCGGGCGGGACCCTTTTCCCTCCCCGCCTCCTCTCCCCCTGTGCCGCGGGACCCCCTGGGGACGGCAGCCCCGCGGAGTCCGGCCCTTCCCTCGGGGAGGCCTTTCCGGGCATCTGGAGCGCCCGGCGATGGAGCCGAGGGATTGTCCCACGGCCGCCGTGTGCCAGGGAGGAGGCGCCTGCCGCCCTTCCCCTTTCTGCTGCCTGTGAGCAGGGCCCGCGGCGAGACGGGCGAGGAGCTTCCTCGGAGGCGGGGGCAGCGCGTTACGGCCTGGCATCGCTGTGTCCGGGTGACTGGGAGCTCCCGGGCGGTAAATCATCGGTGGGCAGGGCAGGAATTGGTTTTAGGTACCTCGGTTCACTTCCAGGTCCACTTCCCGAAAATATACTCCGGCTCCCCTAGAATCAGGTTGGGAGGGAACAGAGGCATCTGGCCCAGCCTGCTTAAGCAGGGTCGTCCTGGAGCACAGGGCACAGGATTGTGTTCAGACAGTTCTGGAACCACTCTAACTTCTCTGGGCAGTCTGTTCCAGTGCTCAGTCACACGCACAGCAAGTAAATTCTTCCTCGTGTCTGGGTGGAACTAACTAGGCACCAGTTCTCATCCTGGTGGTTGGCTGCACCAAGAGCTGGGCCCCATACTCCTGATGTTCATACCTAAATGTCTATCTCTCTTTAGCCTCTAGTAAATATGAATGGGAGCACGTTGACTGGTTTTTAGGAGCTCTTCTACATGGATTAAGAGTTTTTATATAGACTTATAAGCATTTTTGTCTTGTAAGGAGCGTTGTTTTGAAGAATGTCTGGAAGTTTCTACTTCGTGATAGTTGGTCATCATGATAATCCCATATTTGAAATGGAATTTCTGCCTCCTGGAAAAGTAGAGTCGAAGGTGTGTTTTTTTCTCCCTGTGACACTCCTGTGATTCTTCCATAATTTTACAGTGTATTAGAAGCATGACCAGCATGTTGTTGAAAGTAGTAGCTACTGTTTTCTGGGGTTTTTTTAACAGAAATTTTGTAATGGGGAGTAGAACTCTAGATTTCCCAAATATCTTTAAAAATCTTTTCCAGATTATACTAGTTCTTCACAAAACACAGCTTCCATAAATATTCTCTGCTGCATGTTATAGAATATGTGTCTTAGTTTTGCTTTGGTAATTTCTCTTAGTGTGCAAAGGTTTTATAGTAGCTATTCATTGTTTAATGCTACTTACTTTTAAGACATATACAGTAATAAGGTAAAGTGAGAAACATAAATTTAAAAGCTGTATTTAGTCCTTTATTTATGCTATGAAATACCTAATTTTTTAAATCATCTTCATTAGTCATACTTGCTTTTAAGTAAGGAAAGCTAAAAACTTATATTGATAAATAAAGATTTTAAAATTGTGAGAAGTGTAATGCTACTCAATAAGTAGTGTTTCTAGTGGGAAAAGAACAAATCTATCCATAAGTGGCATTACATCAAAGAAGAAATAGACTTCAGAACAAAAGTGTGTGGATCCATGAGTGTATCCAAAATTGGAAGTATATGCTGGTACTAACTGGAACTGCATGACATCCTCTCTGTTTTGTAGTAATGACCCATGAAAGATCATAAATAAGGCTACTCTGACTAGATTTTGTGTGAGGATGTGTAAAAGCTGATTTGAGGGAAAAACTGTGGGGTGAGCGAGGCAGTAACAGCATCCCTTTACTATGAGAAGCAGTACAAAACTGCTTATTTATCCAGTCTAATAAAAGCTTCCAGTGTGGTTTTGTCCTGTATCTCTTCTTGGCAGATGTCCTTTGGTGTTCTAGATTATCTACAAAGTACACGGGCCAAACACTGTGATCACTCTCATGTTTATTATAGGAAGAGGTGCAATTTACATCTGCAGGCATATATTTAATACTAGTTGCAGGATGCTTTTCTGCCCTAGGTTTTAGAAAAAAGAAGACCCCAAAACCAAGAAAACAATTCTGTTTCTAGGTAAACAACATGAGAAAAACAGAATCTTTAGGTGATTTTATCAGCATATCTGCCTTCTGTATCTGCTTTTATCTGTCACCCAACTTTTACACATTGTAACCTACAGGCCAATGACTGAAACTTACTGAAATGTTACAGTCCAGAAAATGCTACATTTTATGTATGATATGTAAATATCACAAAAACAGATGTCTGGAAAGAAGAGAAAAAGACATATGACAGCCTCTGTTATGGAATAAGTTAGTGGTGGTAGTTTGCCCATCAGTAAACAAAAGAATTCATGCTTGAGTTTATTCCTGGGATGTAGTACAGGCTTTACTGATTTTGTTGCTCTCAGGACTGGTTTTGTGATTATCTTTTTATTATGACCTCTTTTCTCCCTTGAAACCAAATATCATGGCAACATACACTAGTTTCATTTAATTACAGGATGGCACATGTGACAGAAAAGCAAGGTATATGTAACATTATGTAACTTGAACACTGGTTCTGTAGCAACTTGAACAAATTATTGTTTACATTTCATTCCTTTCACTGAATTACTAATCTACTGTCTTCTGGAAATGCATTAGGATGATCATCGCCATCTCAACCAGTTCATTGCCCATGCTGCTCTTGACCTCGTAGATGAGAACATGTGGCTTTCTAACAACATGTATTTGAAGACTGTGGACAAGTTTAATGAATGGTTTGTTTCTGCTTTTGTCACAGCTGGACATATCCTTCCCTATTCTCTTTCCTTATATGTATATAAGAAAACCCTTTTCCCAGAAAGAGGTAAGGTAGATAAAGTGAGTTTGGAACAGATTTCTCTTGCTACTCACAATTATTGTTAGTCATCTGCTTCAGAAAGAACTATGTTGGGAGGCACAGCAGCTGGGAACAGCTGGAAAGGTGAATTTTTACCTTTGTAGGAGCCAAAGTAGCATAATGAAATGTGGTACTCCCATGGAGTAAAGAGGTGTAAGAGGCTCTGAGCAAGCTTGTATGATTCTCTGTTTCCACCCCTTTGACCATGCTGTAGGGGAGAAGTGGCAGTGAAGATGCGTGGTGGCAGTCACTCCAGTGGTGAAAATGCAGTGTCAAGGCTTGATACTATGTACAGGTAGTCCTAGAACTGTTTGTTGTGAAACATTTGTTACACATACCAAGTAACACTGAATGGCATTTTAACTTCAGGGCTACACCGCAGAGGTGCAGAGAGCATAGTTTTAAAAAGAACCACCTTGGATAGAGAGGTGATTATTTTCAAATAGGGGGATGTTAAAATATAAAGGTAATGCTTTCCAAATTTCATTGCTTCAATCACTTCTTTAAATGCTTCCTCCTATGAGTCACTGCTATTTCATGTACAGCTAAACATTTTAGGTATATGTTGAATTAGGTGTAAATACTTATCTCAGGATAATGTCTTTCTTATTTGTAAAAGTTTTATTCTCCTTAATTATCGTACATATGAGATTTATAATGCTTCATGATGTAAGGCAAGAAGATGGCATTAAGAACTTCTTTACTGATGTATATGAGCTGTATATAAAGGTAAGAACTAATTTTTTACAGTCTTGCTGCACTACTTCTAAGTATGTTCTGCTGTTTGTGCTCAGGCACAGCTGTATTAACATGTTTTCTTCTGGGGGCCTGTGTAAGCACCCGTGCAGTCCGCATCAGCCAGAGCTGGTAATGTATGACAACAAAGGCTTTATTCTCCATTAAACAGAATAGATTTTTTGAAATTGCTATAAGCTGTGCTCTTTTAGACTTCTTCACTTCAGTGATTTTCTGTAGAATAGAATGGTTTGGGTAGGAAGGGACCTAATAAACCCTCTAGTTACTACTTTCCTGCCATGGGCAGGGACACCTTCCACTAGACCAGATTGGTCAAAGCCCCATCCAACCTGGCCTTGCGCAACTCCAGGGGTGAGGCATCAACAGCTTCTCTGGGCAACAGGGAACTTGTGGGGCAACTTCTTGTGATGCATTTTGTGGTAGTATGGTGTCATTAGTGATAATAATGAAAGGACTGTTGTACAGAGCCTGATAGCTTAGCTCTCAGAATACACAGCCCTTGTTCTCCAATCCTGGTGGTACTTCCACTAGATGAGGTTATGGCAAACAGTCATGGGAAGCATCACCATCTCAGCCTCCCATGGGCACTAAATAATCCTAATTTCCAGTGGTGTGATGGGTTTGTTCTGAGGAGCTGGTGCTAGGGGATGGCTCTGCATCATGTACAGGGAGAATGCAAGGGCCTGGAAAGCAAGAACTGTTTAGGAGGTCTGTGCTCTTAGTGGCACTAAATAGGCTGAAAGTTAGTAGTAGATGTCACCTGAAGTAACATTTTTCAGGGCGGGGCATTGTGCTTACTGATGGGTTTCTCTTCTTTCCCCAGTTTGCAATGAATCCATTTTATGAACTCAATACTCCTATTCGATCCACTGCCTTTGAAAGGAAAGTCCAGTTCCTTGGGAAGAAACACCTTTTAAGCTGAATAAATAAGTTTTCTGAGTGAGTGCTTTTTCCCTGCTTTCCTGATTGAACTGTCGCCTGTATGTTTTATATTCATCTTCTGAAGACTAACTGGATGCTGAAGTAGCTTTCTCTTTTGCCAATATAGATAAGGACACCCAAGCTTCTCTGGTTAAGAATGTGTATCTCAAGAAGTTTTCTTTTATGTGGTATGAAAACCAAGTTTTAAACTGTCAGAGGCTACAGAGGTACAAAAGAAGAAACTGAGACATTATGTGTTGATGCATATGCAAAGTGTAAGCCTCTGACAGAGGGTGGGAGGAAATCAGACCTAAATGCAAAAGATGTCGCCAGTCATCTGGTTTAATATGAGCAAAAGGGAATTCTTGACTGTTTGGCCTAAGTGCTTAATCTTATAAACTTTCCTACTTGTATTCCTTCAATAGAGAACTCACTCTGCAGACCAACCAGATTAACATTATACTTTGTAGTAGTAAATCAAGCTTCTATTTATTTATATGTAATTGTATGTATACGAAGTGCTCAATAAAAATTGGATAGATTAGAAAAGCTGTCTCCAGTACTTCCAAGAAATTTTGAGGAAAACCCCTAAAGTTTAAAAGTGTATATTTTCAAATTTTTGATATATTTAGTGCAATACACGTTTAGCTGCAGTGTTGCACCAATGAATGAAGCAGACCAGAGCATCCAGATCTGCCCTGACATTAATTCTAATTCACACATGAAAAAACCCAAACTAAATTTACGTGTTTAAATCCACGGGTTTTTCCCATTATTTCTGCAACTGCTGAAACTTTAATTTTGTAACTAAATTTAGAGGAGGATTTTTGAATTATGAAACTGTGTTTGTTAAGGTTTCAGAAAGACATTATTTGGCCTGTCTGGCTCCTATTCCACTGTAAAATGTTTAGGAACCATTTTGCAAAACTTAACATCATTCCAAACTAGTAAGTTTTAAACAGATCATTTGGCATATATGTACCTAATACTTTGCTTGGGTTTAGTCTTAAGTATTCTGTTCCTTTTTGCAGCAAATCTGTATAAGCTATCTTCTTGTACTTTTTTGAACATGTCTGAAAAGTAATTTCCAAAGGAAGTGGCATGCTGTTCTAAGAAGTATTTTGCATAGTCTGTATAATTAAGGGGACCACATGTGTATGTGCTATAAATGTATAGTCAGTCATTATTTCTGCACTTACTACTAAGCTATCACTGTAAAATGTTCCACAAGAAAAAAGAACGTGATAAAGAGGTTGCAATATTTACCTTAAATAAAAGATGGAATGATGTAGTATGGATGCCTGTTGACTATACTTGAAGTGATTTAGAAGAAAACGAGATAACCACAGTAACAGTACCTGGTGGGGTGGCCAGTGAAGATGGGAATATTTGTCTTTGCAATGTTATTGCATACAAACTGCATTGTACAGCACTTTGGTAATGTAATTTTATATAAGTATTTTTTTTTCTTTTTTCTGTATACATGGAAATAACAGAAATACACTTAAGGTAAAGCATTCTTGATCATGGTAAGGAGCCACTAAGCTGCAGTTATTTTCTGCCTCCTCCCCTGTAGCATGATGGCTGGAAAAATACTAACAGTTAAAATTCACTGAGGAATAATCATATACTTAGCAGGAAGAAAAGGCTTGGCAAATATGAAGGATTAGTGCTAACAGTTTCTACCACTTTTAGAAGCTACATTTTTTATAATTGCATTTGCTGCTGCAGTAGGACATTAAGTAAAATGAAAGCATTTTCTCTCTTGCCTGACTTCTGAAGTCAAGGTACCTGTTCTTATGCCTCCCATGCATCTTTCCCTCTTCCCTGTGAATATAGGAATTGTAGATGAGAAATGTCCTCAGGTCCACCTAGGCTTCATGAAAACAAACTGTTACTGGCCACAGGAATGGAAGAATTACATCCTAACTCATCACCTTTGTGATTGAGTTTATGGTTCAGGAGCATTGTCTTGTGACAGAAGTCTGAAGGCCTTGGTGAGGTAGCTACAAGTTCTCTGTACATGGACAAACACTTGTTTATGCTTTAGTTTGTGACTCTTCAGTCAGCTGAAAGACCACTAGCTGAAGTGATGGGTGAAAATTATCTTGTGGTCAACTGAAGTCACAAATCTGCTCTAGCTGGGAAGGCTGCAGTTCTGGCACACTTCAGTGAACAGTTTCTCAGTGAAAAGACACCTCCTTTGGAAGGATTATCTTCTACCCTCTCAGGGACTTAAGAGTAAGAATTCAAAACAAAGTCTGTTGCAGTACAAGAAAACAGATAATCTGCATTATGCAATAAAGGCAATAAAAAGTTTGAGTTAAAGGGACTAGAATTACCCTAAGTCATCAAAAATCAAGCGTAAGGAGATGAGAACATTATCACAAGCTAACATGAATCAGCCTTAGTAAATATGGGCCGGAAATGTAACTCAGACTCCACTTTCTACAAGGTTCTATTACTGTTTAGGTAACCTATCAGGTTACCTGTACAGTAAGACCCAGGTGAGGTGTGGAGCAGCTGTTAAAGCAGCATTTGTAAGCATTGATACAGTTTGCTGTGACATGAGCTCAGCTGTCCTAGGTAGCTTCTTCTGCCCCTTTCCATTCTGCTCTCTAACAAGTACAGCTTTCAGCAGTCCCAGCAACCTGCCACAACTGTAGTTTTTCCTCTTTATTTTAAAGGACACCTGGAACTTTGTGTACATGTTACACAGTATGCTGTCAATCCACAGAACTCCAAATACTGCTAACAGGACCCTCTAATATTTGAGGTGTGCTAGCTCTTGAAATAAGTCAGCGAATTTAAACATAAGCCACAAATGCCTACCTTACATCCATATGGAACGATACCTAGCTTTCACAAAGTACAGAAATCAATGTTTGCTATTAAGCATTATGATTTTATACCTGTCACTTACAACTGCTTGTCAGATTTTTGATTCTGTAGGCACTCAGTAGTTTCTCTCGGAGATCAATTCCTGACCTAAACTTAATTTCTATACTGTGTTGTTTTCTACAGCATGTACATGCCTGTTAAGTGTACAGTTGTGGTGCAGCAGCACCCAGGGCACAAGTAAAACACTTCTATGGGATAATGTTTTAACTTTATCAAACCTACTACTCAGATGGAGGCTTGGTAACCATGCTAAATGGAAAGGGGAAAGATGAGAGAACTCAGATGCCTAGGCACAAGACCACAGTGGTTCTCAACCTCAATTTTTTCTTTTTAGTAATCTTATCTGAATGGTATCTATAGTATTCTAGTCACAGTATCTTCAGCTCCTGTTTTGTTTCAGCCTTAATCTCTGCTAAAATGAATGTTAAAGGAAGCTTTCAGTTGTAAGGTAGAAGTTTTACAACAATTTCATGTCACTAGCTTAGTAGCCCCTAACACAAGCAATCTTAATTTCTAAAGCTTTTTGCTTGCTCATCCTAAGATTAAGAGGGATTTAGCTAAGCTTTTCTTCACAGATCTTTTCATTAATTGACTAGAAATTAAATATAAGTAGCAGTTCAACCTATATTTAACTGCTCAGGGACTGAAGTTTAAAACACAGTTGTGCTGGTATAGATGCAGGACTGCAAGACTGAATCAGACTTAGGAATGCACAAAAGACAAAAAGATGGCACTTCTAAGCAGAGTAGCAGATATGCAGAGTAAAGTTGTCCTGGACACATTCAAGCAAGCATAAAATGCATACAGAAAAGTGTACTAAGAGCAACAAGAAGGGTTTGTTTTTGCAAGCTTTACTTCCAAATAATTATACCTGGTACAGATTGATCAGATACTTTCAAGACAAAATGCTTGCTGGTAATGTTCTCTCAAAAAAGGCTTTTCCATTGAAACAAAAAAGTTGTTGTACAGAAAGCAGTTGTTTAATTAATAACATGGCCTGTCCTACAGCCTCAGACTTCCTTTCTCAGACCACATGTGTGCCTGTCAGCCATCAGATTACAGATGGAAGCAATAGTGCAGTAGCAATTTTGCTATTGCAAGGACAGTGGTTACTCCTGAGAGCCAATATTGAACAATTTCTCATACAAGTATTCTACCACTTAAACTGCACCTGAAAGCCTAAAAAACACCTGTAGTTTTGCCTGCCTGACTGCAAAAGACTGTCCAATAAATACAGAACTTGCTTCTGTTCATCATTATTAAATGAATTCAGTAATATAAAAGACATTCTTAAACGTAGAAGTCCATATCCTAAAATAGCAATTTTAATAAGGATCAAATTCAGCTCAAATACAATGTATAGTTATATATCTGTATTAGGGCTGAAAGCTGTCAAAATCTACTGTAAGTCAAGAGTGTCCTGAGTTCTCTACATATTGCTAATCCTCACTATCACAGTGCAGGTATTACTGGTAAACACATTCATAGCTCAGGTTAACAAGAACAAGAAGTTTTGAGTTTGTAAGGCTGTACACAAGGAGTTTTCCTAAAAAACTGTCACAATGTGGATCCTTTCAAGAGCTATTAAAGCTGATTGAATAAAGCATTTCTTTTCCAAAAAATAGTTATACTTTAGTTACTCAGATTTTTCACCTAATTGATCAGAAACATGCTAGAATGGACTTAAGGCAAAGACACATACTAATTTTAAAAATTATCAGTATTCTGGATTAAACCACTGAAAAAGTAGTGCAGCATTAGAATAGTAGATGGGAAAAAATGAACATTACATACACAGGAAATTTATTTCCTACTTATAAACCTTCACAGCTTACAGCAACATCAGGCAATTAGAAGACCTGTATGTAATTTATATTAATTTATAATAACCATGTTAGAGATGAAGTACCACTCACAGCAAAAGGAATGTAGTGAGACTGAAGTTTAATATCTAGCATTGTTAAGAAACTGACATCTAACGAAACAAAAGTGGAATGCTGATTTCATAAAAATATACACATAGAAAAGTATCTTTGTGCCTGAATTCCAGAACAGCTTCTCCAAAGTCCTGCTTCTAGAACTTTCAAGTTTTAATTATATTCAAAGTATTTATCATTTGAATAAAGTTGGCAAATTACAATCTTTTATTAATTGTTTTACTCGATGTCTTCTTAAACAGAAAGCATCACTAATTCAGTAACGGGTCACTCATAAATGGAGATTTTCCTTTTTCTCCCCCATGAAAGCAGCAGAATATTATGATTTTTAATATCAAAGTGAAACCCATTTGTTATTCTATCTACTACACCTTCCCCATTCTTTTATAGAGCAAGCTAGTCAACAGTAATTTGGCAAAAAAAAAATTTAAGTCAACAACAAGATGAACTGGGTTTCGGTTTCCGATGAAGGTTTACTGTATCTGTTTGAATAAAGTGATCTGATCTATCTTCAGAGGCTAGAACTCTTCTAACAGCTTCTTCAAAGGCTGCTGCAACATTAGTGGCATCTTTTGCACTGGTTTCAAAATAGGGATGGTTGCCATTATTCCTGCACCAGTCTTGGGCTTCTTCTGTAGATACTTGCCTTTCATCGATATCAACTTTGTTACCCAGTATCACAAATGGAAAACTTTCAGGCTCCTTGACATCTGCGTAATAAATGAATTCTTTCTTCCAGTTGCTTAAGTTTTGGAAGCTCTGAGAGTCATCCACGCTGAAGGTTAGCAGGCAACAGTCAGAACCTCTATAGAAAGGAGTCCGCAAGCTCCTAAACCGTTCCTGACCTGCTGTGTCCCATATCTGCATTGTAACGAAATGTCCATCAACTTCCAACTCTTTATTTAAGAATTCCACACCTATTGTATGAAACAGCTGTGCATCAAACTTGTTGGTGACGTATCTGTTCATAAGGGAACTCTTCCCAACTCCACCATCTCCTAGCAGTATTACTTTAAGGAGTGATGATTTTGCTGCCATTGTTACTGGAAAAGATCCTCCTGGTTTCCTAGACCTGCAAAGATTAAGGAAATCATTAAAAAGGAAAATAGTTGTGAGCAGCAAATTTTGCATAAATATCTAGAATGTGTTTTAAATTCCACCAACATCAAGTTTCATGTACAAAAACAGGACTCCACTAAACAGATTAACTGTAGATACACTTCAGTAAGAACATCCACTCAAGAATACCAAATTTAAGAGGTGTCTCTTCTACAGGCTGCAGTCTGCATCTAAGCAGTATGCTGTATAAATTACTGGTCTGTCACTTAAAACTCAAAAAACTTCCAAACTCTTCAAACCACCCCCCTTTGTGCTGAAGGGCTATCACATCACATTCAACAAGCGCTATCATTCATTTATGTTCACTGGAAAAAGTTAATGGAAAAAAGCAGTGAGAGA